AATCCATAGAGTGGGCCTAAGCCTTCTTGAGCTGCCCGTTGAGCTGTTCGTTTTCCATTGCCACTTTCGAACTCAGGTGCATGTCCGAGAATAAGATGCGAGGTTGAATATGCGTAGACAATATTGTCCTTACAAACGCTGTAAAACCTGCTTCCGTCGTGACTCATACTGAGAGAGGTAATTCCAAAAGGACGATTGCCGATATGGCTAGGAATTTGTTTAGTGTATGCAACTGGCTGGCTACTTTTCCGCTTGTTGGAACAGTTACGGATATCCCAGAGCTTGACAATAGAATTTGATTCTGATCCCGTGAGCAGCAAGTGCTCTTGACCTGGTGGTAGGAATTGAATACTCGTAACGGATATGTCACCGATGCGTTGTTTTTTAGCAGCAGAAAGAGAGCGCGAATTTGCGGTGGGTTTCGGTTCATGTGAATGTGAACCGTGATGAGCATCCAAAATGCCGTTGACATTGCCACAACGTGGAATGTTTTCGCCTGGTAGCTTCTGCATCTCCATGATCGGACCGTCATCGCCCTTGCACCTGAGGTCCCAAATCTGAACACTACCATCTCTGCCGGAAGTGGCAAGCACATTCTTGTTATTTGCTCCCGGTTGAAATCTGACTTGTTTCAGTGTTGCACTATGGTTTGCGAGGATAGAGATTGACTTTTGTGTTGTCATGTCTGAAACTTTGGCGGAAAGATCTCCAGATGCCGTAGCTATTAATGAATCATCGTCGGAGAGTGAAAGATCGATGATCGCGTTCTTATGAACCTGCCAGCCGAGGTATACACTGCTGAACGAAGGCTGTCCATTCTTCTCAGATTCTACTAATCTAATACGTCCTTCATCGTCACCAATGGCTACTAGAGAATTCGTATTCAGACCGGCGTTGCAAAATGGTATGCTGTCCCTGCCACCCAAGAGACTCGAAGTATGGCTCACATCTTCCGGTCTACTGTAGAACGATGCAGTCTCATCTCGCCAATCATTGACAGCGTATGCTAGATTGGCTCGTCTCGATCTGGAAGTGCCCAAGCTCAATTGCAATAGCCTTGCACTCAAACCACGATTCTCGAAGGGAACAATGCGCTCCAACGGTTCTCTTGAAATAGATTCAATGATGTCTTTCTCTTCCTCTCCCTCTTCCTCCACATCTTCAAGAATTGACTGCGATTTTGGATATGAAGAGGTTATCTTCAAAGAACCACGATGCGATTGTCCATATCGAGTTTGATCTTTGAATGGGCAATCACTGTCTGACCCTATATCCGCACCGACATCACTATGAGTCGTCTTTCTTCTCTTAAATTCTCTAGGCATTGAAATTGATTCCTCGTTTTCCTGACCTGGAAGATCCTCCATGTTGTCGAAAGGTTTTAGGGGGCTGGATTGTGTTCCCTGTCGGTTGTTGACTAAGGCCTTAAGGGCTCGGCCGGAAGGTGAAGACATTGACATTGTGGCAGCCTTATTATCGAAGAATTTCCTAAATCTTCTCGGTGTAATTGATGTTTGTCGCCGTTCCTTTTTTGGTGTTCCCACTCTGATCGAAGGGGGGAGCTTTGGAAGCTGAGGAGAACCCATGGTCATGTCCGGAGGAGAGGATGGCAAATCCATAGAATGGGATGAAGGTGAGAGAGACATAATTACAAATTCGAAAGAAGTAACAATTAAAGGTTTACAAGTGACTGTCAAGAAATACGCAACCGCAAAGGCAAAGGTATGCGCATGCACATATCGAGTTGTCAGGAATCTTATGAAGTAGAAGTATAAAATAGTAAAAGCGAAATAGCCACGGAAACGCGAGAAGCATCTATTGGACGTGTGCCACTTTAAACTTAATCCCTGGTTCGCGTTTTATGGATCACGCTACCTAGGCGAGCTAGGTACGATTTTCTTTTCCTCCTATCTTGCGATCACGTGGAGATAAGCGTCCCTTCGATTTTTTTTTTGATTTCTTCATCGCTGGGAGATTGAGAGAGTTGGATTTACTTACCTCACGTCTCTTAAGTAATTATCTTCGTCACAACCCGACATCATGGGTATCCAGAAGAAGCATGGTAAAGGTCGTCTCGATAAATGGTACAAGCTTGCCAAGGAGAAGGGATACAGAGCCAGAGCTGCTTTCAAATTGATTCAATTGAATAAGAAATATGGCTTTTTGGAGAAGAGTAAAGTTTTGTTGGATCTTTGCGCTGCTCCCGGAGTGAGTGTATTCTTTAACATATGTCTGGATTCCGCTAACTTGGTAATGCGATAGTCATGGTGTCAAGTCGCAGCAGAGACAATGCCAGTGAGCAGTTTGATCGTCGGTGTTGATCTTTCTCCCATTAAACCAATCCCTCGAGTTATTACTTTCCAGAGCGATATTACGACCGAGAAATGTCGCGCTACCATTCGTACACACTTCAAGTCCTGGAAGGCAGATACAGTGTTGCACGACGGAGCTCCCAACGTTGGTACTGCTTGGGTTCAGGATTCTTTCAATCAGGCCGAATTGGCCCTCCAATCTTTGAAGCTTGCTACAGAATTTCTTGCGCCAGGCGGTACCTTTGTTACAAAAGTCTTCAGATCCAAAGATTACAACAGTTTGCTCTGGGTTTTCAACCAATTGTTCACAAAAGTCGAAGCAACGAAACCTCCCTCTTCCAGAAATGTTTCCGCGGAAATTTTCGTTGTATGTCAAGGATTCAAGGCGCCAAAGCATCTTGATCCCAAATTCGTCGACCCTCGACATGTCTTTGCAGAACTCTCGGATCCTACGCCCAATAATGAAGCCAAAGTTTTCAACCCAGAGATCAAGAAAAGGAAGAGAGACGGTTATGAGGATGATAATATGACACAATTCAAAGAAATTCCGGCCAGTGAATTCATTCAAACAACCGATCCCATTGCCATTCTTGGTAGCATGAATCGCCTCAGTTTTGTCCAACCACCAAATGGTGATGTAGCTCTGGCCGCACTGGATAAACTGCCAGAAACGACCGATGAAATTCGCAACGACTGTGCAGATCTAAGGGTGCTTGGAAGAAAAGAATTCAGAAACCTTTTGAAATGGCGTTTGAAAGTACGAGAAAAGTTTGGATTTGCTACTAAGAAGGGCGCAAAGGTGGAGCCAGAAGAAGTGGCCGAGGTAGAAGATATGGATGAAGAGTTGAAGATCCAGGAGGAACTACAGGCTATGAGCGAGAAGGAGAGCTCTCGCAAAAAGCGTGAGAAGAGAAGAGAAAACGAGAAGAAACAAAGGGAAATTGTTCGAATGCAGTTGCATATGACAGCACCAACAGATATTGGCTTAGAACAAGCAGGACCAAATGGGGAAGGTTCTATGTTTGGACTGAAAGCAATAGACAAGGCCGGTGCTGCAAACAAGATTGCGAAGGGGAAAATGGCAATTTTGAAAGAATCCGACCCTAGAAAGGAGGAAGGTGGATATGCCTCGGAAGATAGCGAGAGCGACGATGAGCAAGATCGACTCGACAGGGAGCTTGACTCAATGTATGAGATGTACCAGGAACAGAAATCAAGTGCCGATGCAAAGTTCCGCGCCAAGAAGGCAAGGAAGGAGCATGAAGATGGTGACTGGGAAGGATTTTCAGCGGCGGAGGAACAGAGTGACGATGATAATCTGGAAGAGGATAGTAGCGATGAATCTGATGACGAAGGGCCTTCCAAACAGTCTTTATTGACTGATTTAGAACGAAATGAGAAGAAAACAGGTGGGCTTTCGAAAAGAGCAAGTCAATTTTTTGACCAGGATATCTTCAAGGACATTGGAGATATCCCCGAAGAGGAATCAGAGGAAGAGGTCGAAGAGGGAGATGAAGAAGTTCAAGCCGATCTCGACGAGCTTATGAAGGATAGGGTGATTGAAGAGGAAGAAGAAGACGAGGTTATGGAGGAAGCGCCCGAAGAAAGTGATAGCAGCGATGATGAAAATGGTTTCGAAGTTGTCAAACGCAGAGAGGGTGAAGAACAGTGGGAAGACGAAGAACCTAAAAAGGATGGGAGATTAGGTATGTGATTTCTTATCCCGGGGCTTTTACAAATTTACTAACATGACCTTCCATAGACATCGACATCATCACCGCCGAGGCTATGACCCTCGCTCAGCAGATCGCTTCTGGTCAAAAGTCAATGTACGACCTCGCCGATGAAAGCTTCAATAAATATGCGTTCAAAGACCGTGACGGTCTTCCCGACTGGTTCCTTGACGACGAAGGCAAGCACGATAAACCGCATCGCCCAATTTCGGCTGCCGGTGCTGCAGCCATCAAGGAGAAGCTGCGCGCACTGAACGCTCGACCAATCAAGAAGGTCCGCGAAGCCAAAGACCGTAAGAAGTTCAAGGCAGCACAGCGACTCGAAAAGTTGAGGAAGAAGTCTGCATTATTAGCTGATGAGGAGGGCATGACGGAGAAGGAGAAAGCGAATAGTATTGGAAAGTTGATGAGCAAAGCGGCAAAGAAGAAGCCAAAGCAAAACGTTAAGGTTGTGGTCGCTACTGGTGGTAATAGAGGAATTGCGGGTAGACCAAGGGGTGTCAAGGGTAAATATAAGATTGTGGATGCTAGACTGAAGAAGGATGTTAGGGGTCTCAAGAGAGCGGCTAAGAAAAGAAAGTGAGCTATTAATCAGTGGCGTTTAATGTTGGGTGTGAGAATGAGGATGCGTTTGTACAAGAAATTGGGAAGAAGACTCACACAAGTGTCTGGACACAACAATGAATACACTTGATAATCGATATATACTTGACAATCGATACATCATGCTTCAACAAATTATGGACAGAAGAAATGCGCACCAAAATATAAGCCTGAGAGATTACATATGTTCTATTTCCACGTGTGAACTACAACATTGTTATGTTGCCATGAAATCACGAAGTCTAAGAGATCATTGATGGTCGAATTTGGAGTGGAAGATCGAATGAAAATATAAATAGCTTTATAAAAGAGGTTAATTCAACCTCATTATGCAGTTTATTTCTTTGGTAGTCTGCTTGCATTCTAATGGCTAATCCAGAAACCCTCTAAAATTATTGTTTGGTTTATTAAGTACCCTTGTTGAGCAAGACGTATCGATTAGTAACCAGGGTTTCCTGACCTTTGATCTACATGTTCCCTTGGGCTGGATAGATACAAATATACGCATAACCATCGTCTCTACTATGGCATGTGTAATACAATGATCAAGCAATAGCGCCATTCCTCCTAAGATCTGGGTATCCCATCCGGTTCTAGAAAAAAAGCAATTCCCAAGTTAACCTCAACTCCTATTCTCCTGTTATGGCCCCTGAAATCAAGAATCAAATGCTTTGTAAAGCTGTTGTTCAAGGAAGGAAAATTCCCACGAGCACAAAGGTGGACGCCTTATCTGAACCTAAAATGGACTTTCATAGCAAGGCGATGGCGATCATAAAAAGGAGAAGGAAAAGAGATATCGAGCCATGAGGTCCAGCAGTTGCTGCTGTGGTAGCTTCGCTCTTTTTGTACACTGTCTGATTGTTCGTCTCGTTCTTTTGGTTGCTGAAGAAATATGTACTTGCTGAAACACTACCATTGTTTCCATCCGGATTGGGGGCTGAAGTTTGGTCTGGAATGGCACAAATGGCATTTTCAGCTTTAGGGTCTTTGCATCGTTTTGTCAGACCTATCTCGCGCATTGGATCCGAGGAATTGAAGTAGGCTTTCACATAGCTAACGGAGATGACCGCATCGTGTGATGGTGGACCTGAGGACCACAAAGGGTTCCCATTGCTCCATTGTGTGATAATCATATGACCAGGAGATGTCGGAACCGCGGTGCTGTTCATCTTTGCCAGGATTTGTCCATCGGCGTAAAATATGACGTTTCCTGGGATAAAATCGATGCGATATTCATGGTAGCCAGTGGTCGGATTGAAGGGAAGGTTTGCCACAACATAGTTGCCAGTACCAGCAGCGTTGTAGCCAGCTTGGACTGACTGCACCGATTGTAGAACAAGATTGACAGGGAATGTGTTGTTGTCGACGTTGAACTGGGAAGAAAGAAACTCCATATCAATTTCTTGGCTGTCGTTAAAGTACTAACCCACAATTAGTATCTGAATCACAGATGTACCTGCTTGGTCAAGAAGAGCTTACCCAGAAAAAAGCAGCACATGTACCAGGAGTTAGAGTCAATTTCATAGCAGCTCTATATGTTCCCCAGAGTAAATCTTCACGGGCCGAATCTATCTCCGCAGTCTGAACAAATCCATTGGCAGGATCACCTCCACTAACAGTAAGCTGTACACCAGGATCAACACCAAATTTCCCATCTCCAGACCATGTATTCTCATCAAGTATAGGATTTGACGTGACCTGTTCAATGCTGTAGTTCATGCCGTAAGGACCACGTCCAGCAGCAGCCGTCATATTAAACTGTTGTCGTCTCCAGTCCGTATCAAGAGTGATATTGGGAATGTGCAAGAAGTCAGACTCGATAAGATCAGTAAATATGTAGGGTTCCGCAGAGTCGCCGATGGAGGATGAATAGCCGCATTCACAGTCTGCAGTCGCATGGCCTGCGAAGTACAGGACTATTGGGATAATGATTCGCATTTTAAGACCCCGCATTTTAAATGAGACAGAATCTTTTGCGATGAACGATATTATTATTGTATGCGGTCAAGGTATTTGGTGGTACAACGAAAACAAACAAGTATCTTCTCTTGATGTACAGGTTGTAGTGTTATCGCAAAATTGCACTGCGTTTGAAATGAAAGTGAAAATTCACCCGTTGACTGAACGGGACAGAAAGTACAGAGTCGAATGGGAAAGAAGAGTGTTTGATTTGGACTTGTTTGGAAGATAGCCTTTACCAGATGGTTTTATATGAAAAGATCACCACGGCATTATGGGTGAAGAAGTAGCTGTCGTTGGAATCGTGACGATGAGGGGTTGACGAATGGTGGGCAGTGAGCAATGGAAGGACGAAGGTTTATTATTAAAGAAAGAGGTACTTTTTGAGAAAGAGAAGAGTAAACGATTGATGGAAGTCTGTAATAAGAGAATGAACGAAAGTGATGGAAGAAGAAAGAGCGTATGGTGTATCAAACGCATTGTGTGTTGTAAGTGAGAGTGAAGTTGAAGAAGGCAAGAGCAAGTAAAGAATCAAGACTGGAAGTGGAAGCGGAAGCGGAATATATAAGAATATGCATATGAACATGAATATTTACGACTCCCGTCCATAAACATAAGATGATTTACCTCCCTTCCTAACTGCTTGCCTATCTACTTTGATATCTCTGCGCGTGAATCCGATGAAGAAATTGGTCAATACGTACCTACATATAATATTATATTATCATAATCCAAATTATATTGTTAGCACGGTAGGTAGGTGTGCAACACAACGCAACGCAACACAAATCAAATGCAGGAACGAAGCCCCTCCACACCCACTCCTCGCCTGGGGTTCCATTATTTTGTCCTTTCCATTCCCTTCTCTTGCTCTGACCCTTACCGTTCTTCAAATCCATCTCCACATAACAAGATAGAATCAAGATTCTTTGATGCTCGACGATAGATCGTTTGTATGTGAATGTTTGTTGCCACTCACTTCATTCCTCCCATCTACCTAGAAGGTATTGCATAGTGAACGGGAGATAGATGTGATACAAATCTACGTTTCATCAAACCATGTAGATTTGGCAACACGGCTCAATGTTGCACAGATTGAATCATTACTCCATCAGTGGAAGACAAAGAGACTCCATTGTCTGCACTGAAATACGACCGTCTGCCTACATCTGTAAAAGATGCTCTATTTTCCCGAATTCTATCATAGCAGAGTTTGGGAAGAAATCCGTAAGATAAAAAGAGAAACAACCCATTGAGTGAAGGTGATGAATAACGTTTATTGACACTCAACTTTAGATGATACTAATAATTGGCTTCTAGCTACATATTGTACTAGCTTGCATCCATTTACTCCACAGCCAACCAATAAAATCAGACGAAAAATCAGAGGGAAAATTTATCCTCGACATCAAAGCAGATCCCCCCCGCATGTCATACATAAAATCATCAAAAGAATTGACTGTAGGCATCGCTAGCTAGCCCCATCATCATTCATCGCCATTCACTTATTACTGGGTCATGATGAAGACATAAAGCCATCGAACAAAAGACCGAATGTTCAAAGATGAGCTAAGAATCTAAAAATTTTCCCAAAATCTACTCGCTTGCCTACTCTTACTTCATTTAGATTTGATAACTTCCATCACAAGGCTTAGGTGCTAAAGATTATTTCATGAGACTGCTTAATGCGTCCAATGAACACAACATATTTTCTCAATCAGAACATGAAGAGGAGAGAGATTACATGTTGATCTCTTCCGATTGCACCCAGTCGTAACTAAAATTGTAACTTAGAATGACTCCTACGTCGATTTGGAAGAAGATTGAGGGCTCACAGGTTGATCGTTTGTCAACACTAGGCATAACAGAAAGACGGATAAAGCTAAGCTTTGGAGATGGTAGAGATTTCCTCGCTCGGCTGCATGCATTCACCACCCGCCACGTAAGCTATTGTTAACGTCACGTTTCACTGCACATTGAGTTTAAAGGGGTCAGAAGACGAGGTGTGGGAGTAGACATATAATATTGATTGATAAGACGCTGGGATACCGCCTCGTTTTGCGAGAGAAGCTACGATTAGACCAAGAATGCTGAGATACTGACTATCTATACATACACCGATCAGCCCAATCACCATTCACCATCAGGTGACATTAAACCTTTCGTGCCCAAGTTGCCATTTCTCAAGTACTAACCAACCAACCAATTCCAATTTCCGCCTCTCCTTCATGCAAATCAAATCCATCAAAACATTTCGCAAATAACTATGACCAAGAAAGCGCAAAAGAAGAGAGAAAGTAGAAACAAACTCAAAAAACCAGATGTATATCGAACAAGGTATAAGGTATCTGAGCTGAAATGGATGACGGAGAGGAGAAACAAAAACAATTAAAAATTGGTAGTGCTAATAGGACAAGGGCAGAAGCAACACCAGTGGGCCAGCCATGAGTATGAGTGTAGAGACATTAGGTGCGCGAGAGCGCGATGATATATGAGACGAAAGTGAAGAAAAGTCCAGTATGCCCGACCAGCCCCGTATTGTTGCCCGTGACCCCGAGAAAGATTTGCTCATGAAAAAGTAATATCCGAAAGTAAAATCGCTATATGCAAAGAAAGGAAAAAGGAAATGCCAAAGATAAACCGTCGACCCTCGTCAAAGCCAATAGTGTGAGATGAAAAGAGATGAGGGATATCAAAACCGAGTCTAACAAGGAAAATAAAAATAAGGAAATCATAGCAATCATTAAAAAAAGAATTAAATCTTAGTACACGCTGTCATCAGCGTCATCCATTCCTTGAGAAATCATGGAGGGCGTTGAAACGTCCGATACTTCCATGTCGTCCTCGTAGCCGACAAGGGCTTGAGAATGAAGTCGGAAGGAGTCACCCATGAGTTTTGTGATTCTATAATATGTTAGTATAATGTGTATTTGACAATGAACATTGTGACTTACCCCCAAACGACAACTTCATCAAGCATGCTACCCCAGACACGAGCGACGGTAGAGCTAAGCTTGGAGCTATAGCCTACAGAATCATCGTCAAAGAGAGCTCGGATCTTGTTTTGCATAGCCAATTCCTCCTCAGTCGGAGGCTCCTCGTCATTTTCCAGACGATAGAGCCACAAGCTGAGGATGACCATGAGATCCAAGCCACAAAGAGGATGTTCGATACTCCAGTTGGTAGCCGACGTCCTAGCAACCCAGCGAATTCCTTGAACGGCTGCAGTTTCAATGCAATTGTAGCATTCTTGAATGACTTTGATCATCTCGCTGGACCTCTTGACCTTGTCCCTAGCATTTGACATGGCAGCAGCAACTTCATAAGAGTCATGGTACCTCAGGACTTCTTGAATTGATTTGAGGTCAACCTCAAGACGAGCCTTAGCATTGCGGAACAGGGCCATAGCATTAAAGATCAATGGATGTCCTTTGTGAGGGGCATTGAGTGGAACTGAAACAATTTCCGGCTCACAAAGGTCAAGCGATTTCTCCCAGGTCTCCAATGCAAGACGGAGTTTGAATTCCAAGACCATATCTTGAAGTGCTTCCGGGCTGCGTTTATGGTACCAAATCTCAAGGAAAAGCGCATTGATCATGACACGAGTTGCAAAAGCACTGTAGCGTAAGGATTCGCCCTGAAAGAGGTTATCGTGAGCTTCCATGAATGATGGTATGTCGGCAGCTTTGAGGTGTTCTTTCCAGGTAGCTTCGTCGGAAACATTAAGATTCCACATCGCTTCAGTCGAGGGAAGTTGTAGATCTTCAAACTCGTTAAAACTGATAGCGGGTGTATGGTTGTATGTCAATGTCAGTAAGCCAAAGAAGATGTATACTGCATAGTACGTTCGTCGACAACCCTCATCTTCCACCCATTCGGATCTGGTAGGCGCAGCACCTTCTCGAGCGTCGGTGCGAAGCTTCAGCTCGTAACGATTACCAGCAACCATGTTAGCAAGTAAACTCTTGATCGAGCAAGCCCATTCCAGTCCTTTTGGATCTCCACTCCAGCTTGCGAAAATCATGTTGAGGAGTGAGCTTTGCATGGTCCACAAAGGACACTTACGTGAGCTGAAATTCTCCTTGTTTTGTAAAAACTGATTTACGAGAACCTTGGAACCAATGTGCATCATATATGCGTGATCTTGATCGAATGCATAAAGAGCACCAATGGATAGCACAGCAAGAAGAAGTGGTGGTGAGACTTGCGTTGGTTTAAAAGTCGAAGGGTGCAAGAAGGGTAAGTGATGGTGGAACAAGGTGAAGTAGGTCGAAAGAAATCGGTTCAACGATGCCAGCGTGGGGAGATGAAAGCCTTCTGGAATTGCTCGTTCACTATCATGGGCACGGATATTGTCCAAGATGATGTTGCGTTCTTCGTCGCCAGTGACTTGAGGTGCTCTCATCGCTGCTGCTTCGGAACGGGGCTGTATTGGTGACAATTGGGGGGTAGAAGCCATTGAGGGTGGCAATGAATCAATCATGGACTGCAACGCGGGGACGAGTCCATTATAGCTTGACGACGCCTTGTGCTTGACGATAGGTGGAAGCTGATTAGGATGAGGTTGCATCGTACCACCGCTTGTAAAAGACGCCTGGGAATCTTGAGAACCAGAAGCAGCCGAGGTAATTGAATGAGACTTTGGCTCCGTTACAGACTGCGGCATGAAAGAATCCCACGGGACCTGGGGAAGCGAAATTGCCCCCGAAGGATATGTGACGGATGGTTCCATGAGCGGAGTTCCATTATGAGAGAAAGCCATTCCAGGTCTATTCTCATATGGGCCTACGCCTGCATTGCGCATTGCTGCAGTAGCTTTGTGGTGAAGGTCGGTCATCAACATAGCTGCAGTCTCTAGGTCAACTAACCCATCACTACTGGCCTCGATCTGTTCAAGGGCCGATGTGTCAATAGCGATGGCTGATTTGGCTGAGCCGGATACAACGGATGCCTTGGGGCCGGCACGTCGCTTTACATCACTATGTAAAGGAATACCTCCATCTTTGGCGTGTACGGTTCGATCATGTCGGAGCAACAAATCGCGTCGCACAAAGGTACTTCTACACTTCATGCACTTGAATGGACGCTCCTTGGTATCTGCGACGACATTGTTAATATGTTATTCAATTGTCGCGATGGAATTGTAAAGGTGTAATCGTAGTCGCAATCCAGTGGTGATGAATCAACCACGCGATTCGATACAAGGGGGGAGGGGGCTAAAAGGAGTGTAAGGAACACCAAAAACTTACGTGATCTCTCATGTCTACTACGATGTTCACTCCTGCTGAAAGCTCTATTACAAAATTGACATTTGTACTTCTTCTCCGGAACAAGGGACGACTTCCTTATTGTTGATGTTGATGATGCACCCGCAGGCAAGATATTTAAGGCAGCGACAGGCATCGTGTTCGAGGAACTCTTCTGACTTGACTACACGCTTCGCACTCGATATTGAGCTTCGAAATGATTCACAGATCGAT